CTTATCAAATACTTGATGTGCATGAAAAATGATTAAATGTCGTTCGACAGAGATCCATGCGTTTAAAAATAATCCGACTGCATTCAGTGAGTATTCACAATATGTCCACCATACACAGTATCCATTTGTTGCTGGCGAAACGTAGTTCAAATAATAATAACTCATTGGCATCGGCAGTTGCAGAGTCAATTGCAAAAAATTAACAATGAGTAGGATGATCCATCCATGATTTTTGAGTTGTGCACTAACCGGACGATTCAAAGCAAAGTAAACAAATAGGATAACTGATACAGAGATTGCTGGAATCTCCAAAACAATCATGGGAATAAATCTGCTTCTGGATTCCATGACGGTTATAAAAAGTAATGAGCAAAGGAATAAGTATTCTACTAGATGCTCTTTTCTTATTGAAGACGAGAAAGAAAAATGTAGTGCACATATATTTTAAGTTTAATTATTAATATATATATCTGAATGTCATCGAAGCATTCTTCTGAATTCCGAAACATACACTTTCACTAATTATTGTATGAATAATCATCTGTTTTTCTATTTCATCTTCAGTCATTCCTAACTTAAAATACTTTAATCTTGACAGGAAACGGAACACTTTACACTTTATGAATAGCTAACCTTAAATTTTGAAGTTAACATTTTCATTTTCTATTTCTCTATGTTTGATATATGTCATTTATGTAATTTGCAGGATAATTATAGTTTCTTTCTTTGCTAGACAGTCATATACTGTGGAGATTTAGCTTCTTCAAGCTCTGATTACTGACGTCAATGAAATTCCTTCTAATTATATATTATTTACATTTCATTTCTTTAGTTGATATCGTTAAAAACAACATCAATGCACTATAGCATACAAACGAAGAAATGTATTCGAGAAAAATAAATTATTTTAGTAGAAAGAAAGATAAATTCTGAATAACAATAGTAATAATTGTAGAATTTTCGAACTTGTCCGATAGCATGACAGTCATTAACAATACCAAGTAACATCTTAAACTTTGATTTTTAATCATTTTAATGTAATCTTGATAATTAATATAAATTGATGAGATCAAATTCCAAAAGACAGTAACAGATGAAGATTATATAACCCTGTATGTTGCTTAAAAAACTTAAGCAAGTATAACTGCTTAATATGTGATAAACTAAGTTCGAAAATTCTACAATTATTATTTATCAAATAAATGATGTTTATTTACAATGCATCAAAATTTATCTTTCTTCCTTCTAAAACAAACGAAGAATTTAATAAACAACAGTATCGGACGTATTTGTTTAGATGAAACTATCTGCAACTGAATTATGTAGACATTTTTGAACGACATTCTCTGTGTGGAAAACGTTGTCTTAAGTGATTAGAAAATGGTGCCGTTTGAGATTATTTCCGGCAAATAATGAGAAATTATTTTGATGGCATTTTGTTTTTATGTAGCGTCTCAATTAAGAGTGGCTGTGGGTACGATTGATTTTTTTCTCAATAATATGAAATGTTGAATATTGTTCAAGGGACGAGTTATTTTGTAAAATGTTTGAATTAGAAAAGTACATTACGAAATCTGATATAGCAAATTCATGGTGTTGTGAACGGGGGAGCAATCTCAATCACATAGTGCTCCTGTAATATTAGTTTCCTTCTGTACGTGAGGGTTGTAGTGGGCAAAGAAAAAGAAAAGTCGGAAGCGATTTTCAGGTGCAAATCGCTTTTGAGTTGAGATTATGTGCTTTCTTGAAACTGCAGAGCTATAAACTCTCTTGAGAGAGTATATGCATGTACATAACTTATATGTGTCGAGATATTTTATTTTTATGAGGTTTCTTTTGAGTATGGTTGTGGTTGTGAGTGTTGTCATCGTCTCACATCCATACCCATCTAACCTTACAAATATTTGTGGTTTTTGGTCATGCACTGAACAATCAGTTTTATTTATTGATATTTAATCAATAAAAAACAAAAAAAATATCGGAATTTATTTATAAGATTAGAAGTACACTTAAGTAGCAGACTATGAACCGATAATGGACTCTTTTCAATGATTCTCATATCTGAAAGATAGCAGCATCGATGGGAAGTGTGTGTAAACCGAGAGCTACAAGGTTTTAAGAAATCTTTTAAAAGTTTGTTTTACAATTTTACAGAAATAGAATTATTGGTGGAATTTTTCAAAATCGACTAAATATTTTTTGTTAATGAAGAACAATATAACAGCTTTTCTATATTCTCATTTATTTTATTTATTAATCTTTTTACTTCGATTCTTGAAGACTGTACAAATGTTTATGAATAATTTGAAAAGGATTTGAATGATCTTGAAGCCACAATAACAATATAGTTTAGAGTAGACTTTCGAAATTTTCGACAACATTAATGAATTTAATCTTTTAGAATGAAAATGTATTAGTACCTGTTTCAAAATAGAAGGCTCGTGGATATTTTTTGAATAATTTTCGATAGGAATAAGATGGAGTACTGTGGTTTTTACCATTGCAAAGAGACAATGAAGGTACATCAAAAATTCTCTAAAAGATTTCTCCGATAGTTCTAGAATGCTGACGACAATCATTAAATTCATATTATGTTTTTCTTAGAGCTTTAGATGTCTTAGAGAAATGTTCCGATGTGTTTTCATTGTCTCTTTTCAACGATATAAACTACAGCTCTCCATCGTATTCCTATTGAAAGTTATTAAAAAATTATCCATCTGCCTTTTATTTTGAAATGAGCAGTAATTACAATGGGAATTCAACGAATCATTCATATGTTTTATAATGAATTATTTGTACTAAATCAACCGAATTTTTATTTATTCATTGAAAATAATTTCAAATAATATCGATCTAATACCTATCTGAACAATATATTTTCTTGTCAATTATAAATAAAACATTAAAATGAGCCTCTAAAGAAAACACTTATATACACAAAGAAAAGACAATCAAACGGTGAATTTTGCTGGATTTTTCATGAAAGAACAATGATTTTTGTATGACTAGATTTGATTTGCTTATATGTCAATTGAATTACTCATGTTCCTCTGGTATGGTTATTTTTCGTTCTTTATTAGTTCGTCCACCAAGACATTTTTGAAAAAATTGTCGTTGATAATGAAGAAAATCATTATATATAATTGGATCTTCTTCAAAATAATGACTAGCATCTGGATAAACCTGTTTTTTTTGTAATAAAAAAAATCAAATTTATTTTTTTAAAAATAAGTTTCGATTATACTTTAAAATCAAAATTCATATCAGTATCAGTGAATGATTTAGCTAATGTTGCTGAATGTTTAAAATGTACAATTTCTAAAAGAAAAGAATGAAAATCTTTTAAAAATTACATTTTTTCTATACCGTCTGCTGTTCCATGTACAATAGCTAAACTTTTATTTTGAATATTGAATCGATGAGACTTCAAAAACAAAAAAATAAAATTCAACAATTTTCTTTTCAATTACTTACTGATTTAAAATCCATATTTATTCCATTAATCTGTTCGCTAAAAGTTGCATCTATAACATTGATATTATTGATTAAATATTTATATATATAGAATTAAAACTTACAATAATAAGATAGATCATATACAGGTGATTGAAGAAATGCACATATATATTCATCTTTATTTTTATTATTTTCTTCTAATAGTTTCAATGCAATAATAGCAGCTGGACCCTACAGAAGATGAATTGAAATAATACATGATTATTTATAAAAATTCTTACTTGTGCTCTCAGTCCAAATCTTGTATTATTCAAAGTTTCACTAAATTTTTTATCATTCCATTTTAAATGTCTATATAAAACAACATAACATTAATAAAAAATTCGTCTAATTCTATTCTTACTGTGCAACTTTAAGATAATCTTCATGTTGTCGTTCAAACCAATTTTGAAAATTAGATTTCATATAACTTTCATCTTGTCCTGTACTACCATGTGCATCAAATAAAACAATACTAATATTATCTTGAATAACTTGAATAAAACTAAACAAAGTAAAATAGATTTTTATATAATATTTTCGTGACTCTATTGTTATACTCGGCTAATGGTAAAATATATTTTTTATTTACACGTTGATCATACAATCGATTATTTCTAGAAAAATAATTAATAATATTCAATTGAATTCAGAATTTCTTACATTGTTACAATAACTGGATATGATGCAATTGTTTTATTCGGAGTATAATTTGGAGGTAAAATAATCATACCATTACCGACTATTTCATTTATAACGATAATAAATATAATCAGAGATCTTATATTAATTTTACCTGTGTTTTTGTCATCTAATGGTACTGAAAAATAATCAATATAAGGCATCAATCGTTCAGTTGTCCATTCTCGAAATGGTTCATTATCATTGATAAGTACTAAAAAATAAAATCAGTTTCAATCGACATATTAATTTTTGTTTTTACCGAGCTTGTCCGTTTGATTATATAATGTTGAATAAGGAATTGATGGTCCAAAACATTCTAATATATGATAACTTCCTTTACCAAGACTAAATTGAGCATTAGCATATCCACATGAATCATTACAAGATAAACATTCAATATCTGTATTATTATCTGTATATGTCCATCTAGTTTTTAACAAAACAAAATAAACTTTAAACAAAAAAAAACAAATATATTCTTACCGATAAAGTTGTTTTTCTAAAGTATCATTTTGATATGACCCAGTGAAATAAACTCGATTGAAATTATCAACATGAATTATTTCATCTGCATTTATATCTTCTGATGATTTTGCATTGATTTGTGGGTACTAAAAATAAATTTCATTGTTCAAACTTTTTTTTTGTTATTCAATAACCTACAGATTGATTAAAATGTATTCGTACAACCCGTGGAAATGATTTTTGTATCGACGATTTATCGCTATTTAATAAATCGAAACGTATTATATAAGCATATGTTCCATTGGACGAAAAATATGGTTTTAGAAATCGTGCTAATAAATATCCTTTTCCTGTTTCTTCAATAAATTTTGATTTCAAAATTATTTTATCAGCAACAATTTCATATAGTTGAAT